GGATTCCAATTTAGGAATATACAAGATTTTTTCCTCATATGCACTTTTGATTACATCTACTTTACCATTTATGTATTTGCTCATAAATTAAAATAAATAATGCATTCATGAAAACCTCTGCTGTACTGACTGAATTACGACGAGTCGATGGCAGATGACTTGATCCTCCTCTTTTGGATTTCAGACTTTGAAGATGTTAATATCATTGGGTTTTATCACTTCACAGAACATTAAGGTAGCACGATGTAATTATCAACACCTCTATTAATTTAATAAGGATCACAGAAGCATATCATATCTTTAACAACTTTTTTACAATATATAAAAATATATATTTTTTATATTTGTATTAGCACATAGACCAGTCATCTGCAGCCGATTCAAAGTAAAGCTGCTCATCTTTTCAAAGAAGATTAAAAAAGTGAGATTAGGTTGCAAAGGAAGCAGAAAACATTTCTGTGAAGTAACTCCACTCAGCTCGTCCTGGGCGAACCCTGAGGCATTTCCAGGTCAGAAGGAATCCATGTAATCCCTCAACCAGCCAGTAAATACAGACCATGTATGAATGATTCTGATTTTGCTTGTTCTTTATTTCTTTTGTGCACTTTTCTGGAACTTTACTTTGCAAAGTAACACTTTTATCTTTGACTCCGACATTACAACCCAACATTTTCTGCTGTGTGCAGAAGTGTAAAACAATTGCAACCGTCTTGTTGGGCTCAGCGCTCACTTGATCGATCTATTATGCATATCTCTTCCATGGTCAGAGACAAAGATAAGAGTTTATCCTCTAGATAGAGAAGCTGCCAATTTGCCAGCATAATAAAAGTCAAGCATCCAGACTCTTTATATATTTTTTATTCGCAGATGAAGATCATTAGCTGCTGTTGGAAATGGTGGGGGTGGGGGGGGGGATAACAGTGTTTGAATTTATTCTTCAGTAAATGCCCACTGATTGGTCTTGATTTTTTGCAAAATCACTTAAGAGGTCAGTGATTTTGACCAATTCTTTTTTTACATAACATACTGAATGATTATACAAAAGTCTTTTTTTCCCCCCCAACTTGAATTAATTTCATAAGAATGTAAATTATCCACTATTCTTTGTGGGCTTAATCCATTTGGTTTAAAGTTGGAATAATTTCTTCCTGTTTATTTGAATAAATTTTAACCCACTGTACGCTGATGATATATTGTTTAGTATTAAATACCAAATGGGGGACTTGCATTCAGGTTTTCAGATAGCACATGACAGTAGCTGCGTTTCCATTAGAAATGTGTACAAAACTTTGTCTATGGTCCACTAATGGCAAAAGGAGAAAATTCCCAATTTTGTGGCTTTTCCAATTCCAGGAAACATCAATGAAATCACATGTGAAGTTTGTTCAAGCATCATCCTAAAATTATTTCCTGTCACCTTCTTCTTCGTGGGTTGCCCAGTGGCAACATCCGGTTGTTGATCACGTGACTCGTGGGATATGAAAAAAGTGTTTCCGTTACTTAATACCTAACCCACAAACCCTAGATCACAAGCATTCCAAGGCTTCTAAACATACCGTAATCAGCTGGGAAAGGGAAAACCTGCTAACAACATGAACCGTTTCCTCTGTAAACTCAGCGACATCCCGCTGTCAGACGATTGGCGAGAATAGAAATACCATCCATGGGCGGTTCTAGCTATTGGCCAACAGGGGGCAGTGCCATTGTACAGAAGAGATGCTAACTCAACTTCTTATGGCAGAGAAACACTAACTAGTCCTTTAGACAACTTAGTTGCACTTTTAGCTTTAGTTAGAATTACTGATTTTGTTTATTAATTATTATTATTATTATTATTTAGATCAGGGCTCTGCAACCGGTAGCTGAGGAGCTGCAAGTGACTCTTTGGCTCACTTAATATATTAAATGACGTTTTTTTAAAACGATTATTATTTCATTCTGTGCTCCCATAAAAAAACAAAAAACAAACAAACAAAACATAATTAAAAAACACAGACCCCACCCCGCCTGCCTCTGGTAAATTTGGTTTAGAACCGCCACTGCAGGAACCAACTTATCAGGGACTTTATGCTCCTGGCAGGGTCATCCACACTGCAAAACATTTGAAGGTGGTTTAACTTGAAAATGAAGGTTCACCTGCTGCCTTGAAAATGCAACTAAAGCCAACTAGAATTTTATTTTTGCTTTAACTCTGTAATTAAAGTTCATTAGGATGATTTAACAATAAGAGACAGGTTGTTTGAAGATTGTTCTTTTAAATTATGGCAGCTCATTCGTCTTGAATTGTGAGCCGATTTGATTTAATACTGTGCCTTCAAGCAAAAATTTTTCACATTATGGAAGAAAACTGTTCTCAGATGAACAAGCACACATTTCTGCTTAATTTTCACTCACATCATGGTCAAATAACTACTTTTAAGTTAGACAAATTTAAATTTCTGATTAAACTTGCATCAACAATATATCTGGTCATTTATCTTATTAAATGAAAAAAAGACCGTCAACAAGGAATTATTTTTTTTTTAAAAATGCAACAGAAAACATTATTTTAATTTCAGACTTTTTGTCACTCCCAACTTGTAGAAAGTCAGCGATGCCTTTCTCTTGACACCCCAGATTGTGTGTGCATACAAAAAATAAATCTAAGCTCTGATGTGCGTTTTTCTTTATTTCAAAAAAATGATCAGATGAGGGAGAGAAAGAAAAACAGAAAACAAAGCAAAGCAAAACACAAAACTGTGACAAATTCAGTGACCATAACTTTTCAAAATGTACATTTTATTTTAAACAAAAGTACAAAAAGAACAAACATCAGATATTTACAATACTTGCATGGCAATGTTCACTTTCTTTGGTCATTCTTCCAATTTGAGAGTAGCTGTTTTTTTTTTTGTTTTTTTTCCACAAGGTAGGCAACAAACAGCAGCTTGGAGATCTGAGATTATAACATGCTTGATATATAATTCAACCAGACTCTACGCAAACTACCGATGAGTTAATTTCTTTTGTTTTTGTTTTTTTGTAAGGTCTGCAAGCAAGTTAGCGACAGTTTAAATCATAGATATGTGACGGTAATTGATATGCCTACCAGGATCCATAATTTTGAATGATATAAATAGCATAAAGAAAATAAAATTCACACACTTCACAATTACATCCCCAATGTTAAAACAAATGTTTTTTTTTCCCTTTCAGTTTTTACTAATGCTCTTAAAATGGACCAAAAATCGTGACATGTACAGCTGCGCGTATCCCATTCTATTCTACACACACTTGAAACATGAAACATGAACCCCTAGTGCACATCACAAACTTAAGTAGTTACAGGTAGACTTTTTTTTTTTTTTAAAAAGAAGGCAAACATATCATAAAGGCTACTTTGAGATGCACATCCTATCCATCCCCCAGTTCCACAGAGTGACGCCATGGCTGCTTAAGAAACAATCATTCCTCAAACACCGATGGAGCTCAAAACTAATGGCATCGGGCTCAAAGTTCCCACAAACTAACGCGTCCTCTCGTAACTGCAGGCTGACAGGATCGTTTTTGCGAGAGATGCGTGAGGCGGAAACCAAGGCAGGCAAGTTGAGCGGGTGCTGTACATTCTCCCAGTAGTCTACCTTCTTTGTGTTGTGCCGTGGTTACGCCGAACGCACAGTTCATGGACAGTAAGAAAACAAACAAAACGAGGAAAAAGAAACGCAAAAATAATCTCATCTCATCTCCTGGTAAGACAAAAAGAAAGCCAAAGACATGTTTCTTAACACCACACAGCTTTGTGACAAATTACCTAGCTCCTAATTTACATGGAAAATCATATTGCCATTTTTACCTAATGCTGCGTATACGAACATACAGTGCCTTGTACAAGTATCCAGAGAACTCCATTTTGTCCTCACATCTGTCATATTACCGCCACAAACTTTAATCTGTTTTATTGGGGGGGATTTAATGTCATGGACGAATTTTTAAAAAATGCTTGAAAATAAGAAAGAAAATCTTGTCAAGTATCTTTGGTTTAGTTTTGAGTGCAAATATCTTGGTACAATTGAAATAAGACAAAACTATCTTGCAAGTAACTTTCCAGCAAGAAATATGAGCTGGCTTCAAGGCAATTCCTCAGAGTTGATGAACAACTAGTTATAGGTGAAATAATCTGCCAGTCCAACAAGATTTTGTTTTATTATTATTATTTATTTTATTATTACTCAAGCCTTGGAATTAATTTTTGTTCAATATGTACAATTTAAATGTGCAGCTGAATCACAGTAGAATCTGTGTATGTCTAAGGACATTTTCCCATATAAGTTAAAATGTCTCGTTTCAAGACTAAAAACTAGACCAAAAATCTTTGACGTTTTCAGACCCCTTTAATCTGACACCCTTTAATTAAATCAAAGGGTATTGTATTGTTGAAATATCACAAAAGTCCCATAGAACACATTTAAGTTTGTGATTGCAACATGATGACAAAATATGGAAAGGTTCAAAGGGGAAACAAATGCTTTCTCGAGGCACTGTACCCCTAGCCCTGATCTCATTATCAGCTTTTCCATCCAATAAATTTACAAAGTGAAATAAATGCACAAACAGATTTTACTACTACTACTACCTACTGACACTGAAGGCAGAGGTGGCTGGCCTGAGATGGCATGAAACTAAGAAGCAATGGAAACGTCTCTTGGCTCCCACAACATCATCGAGAGCCAAGAGTCAAACACAGACTAACGCAGGCCTCTGCATCCTTACGGCGAAGGCAACGCGTCTAGGAGTAACTTCACTTCCATCAAACTAAAAGAAACCCAAAAGGAAAGGTCTGCATGTTCTCCCTTTGCAAAAATGTCATTCTAACAAACATGAATCCTAATGGTAGACGAGTTTTACACATGTATCAGTAGTGCAGACAACTTATGTATCACATACAGTATCCATTCTGTTTGTTTAATTAGTGGAGGGGGTGAGGGATGTCTGGATTATGCTTTTGTTCTTTTTTGTTGTTGTTGTAAAAGTGTCCCTGAAACCAAATCCAAGCTGTCGTCATCCCAAATGAATGGTAATGTTTCCCAGAACTGAGGTGAAGAGAAATGTGCAAAAGTTCTGCGTCCTCACTGGAAAGAAATGTCAAATAAAGGTTTCCGTAAATTTGGTGAGTCGTCATATCAGGACGATAGAAAGACAAATAAAAATACCTTGCTCTCTACCTTTCACTTCACTCTTTCAGAAATGGTTTTGTCTACACGTCTGCTTTCTGGCTGTTCTCCTCCATCTTCTCCTCCAACTTCTTCTCCTCCTCAGAAGACCCATTCTCCTTCTCACCAGTTTTCCAGCTTCCTTGCCTGTAAGGATTAAAATTTCATTGTGTAACATCAGGGTTTCTACATGTTTTATCTACTCAAAGCTAAAACCTTTTGAAGGCCATTATAAAACACTTAAAACCTGTATCACAACAGAAACGTACAAAGGAAAATTGCATATTTTAAACAGTAATACTGCCAAGCCGTTTTGCTCAGAATGCCAACTGGGTCATTTACAATTATCCATGATAAACACAAAAAAGCTGGTTAGTTAGCTAGCAAGGGTTTATTAGCAGATAGTTAGTAAACAAATAAACAAAAATGCTGATTTGCTAACTAGCAACTAAATGTTTACCAGCAGCTAGTTAGCCAAATGGGGATAATTTACACTTACACTTACAAATGACAGATGGAAAAAGCTACCTGAGTAATTAGCAAGGGGTTTATTCGCAGCTAGTTAGTGGTAGCCTCAACCCTCTCGAGTCACAGAACACAAGGAAAATGTTTGCATGCAACTCAAATTTTTGCCTGACAGGAAAGTCTCATGAGAAAAATAAAGAACATAAAATATGTGATTAAGTAGTCTGGGCACAACAAAATTTAAAACCTGTGACTTGTATATTTAAGGCCAACTTATATATTTTTTAGACATTTAAAGGTCTTCATTTTAGATACATGAATTTAAGGGATTTTAAGGACACGCTGAATGTTTTAGTAATCCATCCTGTCAGAGCTAAAAGTTGACAAAAAAACAAACAAACTCGTGGTAGTGCATAAAGTCGAGGAGCGGACTGGAGATGTGATTTGGCCAAGACAATTCAAGCGGGAGTAGGTGGTTGTTTTTGTTGCCTCGGGCAGGATCAGGAGGTCAAAGCACAAACCGCAGGTCTCAGAGTAATGCCAGTTCAGCTTCTCAACTACTTATAACCACAATAATGAAGAAGACACATGGGAATAAGACGATCATTTGTAGATTGTTGGAATAAATAAGTGCCAACGGGAGCCAGTATACAGTACAATTCATTCCATTTATTTATTTACAAGTAAATCTTAAGTCAACAAACTTACGTTGCTTATAATTTTATATTGCCACTCTGAGAATAGTGATTGCAATTCCTTGGATCTGGAATCATTTAATGCATTTCCTTCAGAAATGTCCACAATGTTTGGTACATCAAGCTCAAACTTGGCAGTTTTAATTATTTGTTGTTGTTTTTTAACTACGTTGATTTGAGTGAGAGGTGATTTTGCCCCATAACCAAAGAGGAACTCGGCCGAATATCAGATATTGTCTTCCAGGATAATCAGGACCAAAGTACTACCATGTTAATCCGCCATGTTTGGATGTTTTTAAGTCAGATCAAATGGGACACACACTTCCAAGTTCCAGTCTCATCAGTCCACTGCAAGTCTTTAATGGAAAAAAAGTTTTTCTTGCAGGTGAATTAGGAACATTTACCACAGCCCTTGAGATTTCATACTGGTTGTAAAGTTATTCAAGGTTTCAGAAATCCCTCTGGTGACTCAACTCTCAGGTCAGGACTGATTTCTATTTCTCTAAAGTTATTTAGAGAGATACCATCCAGGGTAAGGTAATGGAGAAGTTTTTCTGTCATTAATCTATTTTAAGCCTTTGGGAGTAATGCCATTTTACACAATCTGCCTTTGAAAGTAATTTTATCTGCGTCATAAAGGGAAGTCAGTTTGACGTAAAGTCAGTTTGATGTGCTAATCATCGAAAGTGTGGGAGCAATTCAGGAAATTTGCTTCATTATTGTAATGGGCTTCTGGCAAAAGTGACTTTATAAATTAGGAAACTTTACGAGGGTTGGGACAAAAAGGTTTAAGAGGTCTTCTTACTTGGATTTCTTCATGTACATCCAGTAGGCCACGCCTATAACCAATGCTGCGACCAGGAGCCCGATTACAACTCCGACAACCAGTTTGGTTTTGTCATCGTCGTCTGAAGAATCTGGAAGACAAACCATAGCAATCGGTGACCAGACACCTGGTTTTGGTGGGGAAAATTAAGGCCAGGGTGCGCGTAAAGAATCAAAAACTAACAATGTGCTTTAAATGCATTGATGAATGGCCACGTCTGCGCTGAGCATGACTGTGATTTATCGACTGGACTGTTAATGGTTGCTTTCCAGTTTTATGTAATCACTCAATGGGATTATGATCAGCGTTGACATCTTGCCAGGATGCTGGTAGCTCTATTCCTCTTATGGTTTTTTTCAAAGGAAAAAATAAATAAATAAATAAAAAACACACACACAGCCTAATACTTCTTCACTAGTTGCAAAACCCAAAGCGATGCAGGGATACACATTCGACCCGAGAGCCTTCTTTCGGTCGGCACTACATAATTCCAACTCAGACGTTAGACGTAGAAGACTGCTACGACTTACCTCGTTTATCCACTTTCACATCCTCAAATACTGAAATCAGATATGAAATAATATTAACGTCCAACCAAAAAGGGGAGGGGAGTGGGTACAAAAACAAACCAAAGAAGAAAAAAACCCAAAACAAAACATAAAACCAAGTTCGTCATCCAGAGAACGTACTACTCTACTTCTACTCTAGTTCAGCATGCAAAGAGGGAACAGATTAAATCCAGCATCCCAACATGGTGGAAAGAGGATGTGAAAAGCCGTTCCGAACAGGGATGAATGATTAAGAAGGAGCACAACATGGTGTAAACACTGCACACTTCTTAAAAAAATCAGTGCAAAATGCATGCATCATTTAGATTGTGTCAGAGAAGGTGTGACATAAAAAAAGACAACTGTGTACCAACAAACTGCAGGATATACAACCAAACTTGACATATCCTGTGATTAATATTATGGAGCTGATTAATTTTTTGTGAACGTTAGATCTTTAGCTAAGTAACTTCTCAGTTTCTGAACCACAGACAATAGCATTTGCAGATTTTTCTCTACGCTACTTGCAGAAAATTGGTCATCTCACGTTTTGTTTTCTCCGCAGAGCACATCTAAAATATTCAAAACAAAACGCAACTTTGGAAAGTGAAAACACGTGGGGCGCAACGCTACTCGACAAGTTACTGGTTGGCGTGTGAGAATCAGCCAGTCCAGCAGAAGTTCATTTCCTTTCCGCTGATTGGCTGTCAGCCGAGAGTGGAGACCGAAGATGTATCAGGTTTGCACATTAGGTATATTTGGTGTTTAAATTATTAAAATAAGATGTTAGGGGTGTTTTAGAAAAGCAACTGTGGTCCCTAATCCCTGCGAATATGTCTTCTGTAAAGGCTATGGCTAATTATGAACCAACACGTCGCTGGCTGACAGGAACATTCCACGTGACTGACTCCGATTGTTGACAACTCCCAAACAATAATCACTTACTGAACGCTAAACTGGCCATTTTCAGTATCACCTTTAAAAAATATGTCAAAGGAAGCATATAGATATCAGAAGTTGCTAACATTACATATGTGTAGTAAATGTAAAGGAATGTTAGTTAGAGTGAGGGAGAGCAAGACTTGTAGCAGATAACAGGAAGGCTTAGATGGTCTCCCATCCCTCACCCAAAGCTGAACAGTTGACGCCTAATCACGCCGTTTGTGGGACGTTCATATTCGCACAAACTTTCACAGTATTTTTGGGCTGCAACTAACGATTATTTTAGTAGTGGACTATTCTGTCGAGTATTTCGACAATTAAATACAAAAAATGAAAAATATACAAAACAGGGATCATTCAGTTCCTTTTTTGAGCATGTTGTTCTTTCAATAAATTGCCTTTTTTGAGTATATGCTCCAATTAATGATTAATCAACTACTGAATTAATTGACAATTACTTCAATAATCGATTAATCACAATTAACGCAATTAATCATTTCAGCTGTGTAATATTTATGGGTATTTCTTGAAGAATGGTACAAATGTACATAATTCCTCACTGTGTCTGATAAACGTTCCTCAAAAGTACTTTGCCTGCAGATGAAAAGAAAAAGGATAGTGGAAGCGGACCAGTTGAAACGAACAACATTGCTGTCGGACCGCATCGTTACATGAAATACGCCAACAAACTTCTGACCAGTCACACAGAACTCTGTGCAAAATGGTTCAAATCCGGCCCATCTTTCCATAATGGGAGGAGGACGCTTCCCTCTGAAGAAGACGACGCTGATTTTGACGCTTCGGATGAGGCATGGGAGGGCCTTCAATGAGGTATAGAAAAATAGTAGCTCTGCTTTATCCTTCTGAGCTATTAGCCTCCGTTTAGCAGGATATGGAAATGTTGGCAGTCTTTTGGAAATCTCAGGCTTAAGATCAAGATCTCCATTTTCAAGGAAATTACACTTGGAGAGTCTTAGTAGTTCTGGCTGCACTAATCATCATTATATTAAGAAGCAAAGACAGTTTTACATGTGAATGCTGTGGTCTCTGCTTCCTATTTAAACAATTGACGACTGGTCCTGACAGAAAGACAAAAAGAAAAAAATTCTGAATGCCAATCATATCTTTTATGTCAACAAATCAAAGATAAACAACAACAAAAAAAAGATATTTCGAATTTGAGATTAGTGCATCTCTAATTATGACAGTATATGGCACCATTTTTAGATTAAATGTGAAGTCTGGAATTAATTTCAATGCCACGTTCTGCATTTCATGACCAAAAGTGGAGTTTAGCTTTGACTACAGTTGAAAATCTCGAATATGTCAATATCCAATTTTAAGAATCAGCCAGTTAAAAGACAAATTTGATTACATCTTGATTAAATATTCCACATGTATTTGTTATATGAGCATGCAGACACAAAGAGTTAGTGGATGAAATAGGAAAGAAAAAAAACATTTAGAAAGACAGCACCCCCAGCAATTTGGAGTAGAGAGAGAGAGTTACGAGAGGATCATGCAGTCACTCTTTTTTACTTACGAGAAGACACAGTTATGACTCTGGTGTCAATGCCAAACGAATTGGACACTGTACAAGCTACACTCAGGTTTGCAGAGGGCATCACTGAGATCTTATGTTTTATTGTGCCATTGTCGAAGGATTTCTCATCAATCTGAAAAAGTGAGAAAGAAAACACGTTAGTGTTCGCAATACCTGTCTGGGCCACTAGGTGGCAATGTTTTACAGTTAAGCAAAAAGTGAGCCTTTTCATGACAAAAAGGAGCAGCCTCTGCCTGTGGGACACAGACTTCTAAGTCTCGGAGGAAAACCCCAGACACAAAGACAAACTGCCAACACCCTGTTCACAAAAAAAAAAAAAAAGAGGATGCAATGTTTACAATGAATCTGCTAACGAGCCAAAATGATTCCTTCATTGGTTTAGGCGTGAAGTGTTAAATCGAGGAAAAAAGAAGCTGCATTACTTTAACTGTAGGATCTGAGAACACCTTTACAGCTGATGAATTATTGCACACAGCTTCAGGATGTTTAGGATTTTTGTGGCGAGAGAGCCGAAAAGAATCCCGCACACAGCCTGAGGTTCATCTGTATTTCACAGTGCCTCTCTGAAAGGCTTGCCCATCAGCGCGCACGCAGGTGGACCACAGGAACAAAGGAAGGGGGGGGCCTGCAGGGGGGAGATGTATTTATAGTGCTCTGCTGCAAAATACTGAGTTTAAGCCTCGGGGAAAGTAAAATGAAAAAAGAAAAAAAATCCACTCTTTCAAAACACCTGGAATAACCGCCTAAGAATGCTCAGACCAGATCAGTTCAGTCCAGACGTGTTGCAGCTCGGAAGAAACAATGTGATTTAACTTTAATGAGGCAATCCTTTGCTCAGTCGAAAAGCAAAGCAGAATCACATGCGTAGGGGAAAAAAAAAAGAAAAAGCTTGATTTTGGTCGATTCTTTGGAGTTTCTCAGAGTCCTTCGCGGCATTTAATTATTGAAGGTTCTTCAGTGGAGCAGCTGTAACCGCCATGTTTACTGCAATACAGACATGTTGCCTTCTCGCATCAAAGACCAGTATCGGAATGAATTGCTATGACAACCGCTATTGATTCGCCAAGAAAATATCAGAGCTTTAAAGGCGAAAAGGGAAACGCAGAACGCTAAAAGGATTCTTCAAATTAAATGGCTTGAAAAGTTTGTCTGAAGCTGAAGGTCGAAGCATGGGAAACTTGAAGAAGGCAAGTTTCCCATGCTTTGGTACTTTGTTAAAGAAGGAAAGGTGGTCAGAAACATTTAGACTTGGTCTGCCTAAACTAGGGAGTCTTCTCCAGATTAAATTGGATGTCAAAAGTGAAAAACACTATCACGTCAAGTTTATTTGTGTAGCACATTTCAGCAATAAGACACTTCAAGGTGCTTTACTCCATAAAAGCAGCATAAAGTCATCAATTATGAAACAAGCCATAAACATCACATTTCATCAAAATCCTCGAAGCACATCAAATATGTCGACCATTGGCTGCATTTTCTATATATATTCTGCTAATGTTAAAAAAAAATTAGTAATTTCGCAACTGCTGTGTTAAAAAATGAGCCTAAACAAGCTAAAAAGTAGAAATGTAATGTGAATTTGAGATGGCTTATGGTATCAAGATATACTGAGGTTTCAACAGAAGTTAAAGAAGCTGCACATATTGTCGGACACTGTTCTACAGTTTTAAGCTATTTTTAATGAGAACCTAGAAAAAGTGCTGGAGCTACAGGAGATATTTCCAACTGTATGAAGAATAGAGTAGCAGCTCTCTCCGTCTCTCCCCCGCTTCCCTTCCCTCACCACTCGCTGTACTACATTTCTCCTCACTAACAGGATGTATTCGCAATTCATCTTCACTCTATATAAGTTCTCTGATATACGGCGAATTAGTCGTGCCTATAAGTCGTGTGCAGGTGATAAGTGTGAACCTGTGTCGGATGTGGAGTTATTAGCCAGAGTTGCCAGCCATTTATTTTATAATTAGTCAGTTTAAATGCAGCTAAGATGAATAAAGCTTCTTTTTGGTTTCCCAAATCCGGCCTAACTCTGTGTCTAACGAATACCGTAAGGGATATCATGACATCGATTGAACTGAAGTCTCCTGCTTCAGTCTCGCTAGCCAACCATAAAGAAGAAATGATAGTGGGCAGTAAAAAAAAAAAAAAAACACAAAAAGCCTCTCTCTTTGTCTACTGTGGACAACCTAGGAGACATGAAAGAGCTCAGTTTTCATTGTGTAGCACCGCACATCTGAAGGGTCACATTAAATGCCATACACTGTCTGGCTAACGATTTTCTTAAAAAAAAAAAAATCTATTTGGTTATATATATATATATATATATATATATATATATATATATATATATATATATATATATATATATATATATATATATATATATAAAGAGCTGCTCATTGAGTGCTTCTGACAGCTTTGAAACCCGATATGCTGTCACAGTAATCACATCTATAGTCTTTCATATCTCTGTGTTGTAACTACAGACTTTGCAGTGACAGTTCACACCAAGCACTCTAAAAAAAAAAAAGGGAAAACTTCCACTTGCACTTTGCATTCAGCTAAATTGAATTTAGCTAATGGCAACTGTCCATTTAGAAAATCATAAAGTCGAGTGTTTTGGAGATACCATAAAGTGAAGCCAAGAAGATAACACGACTCTAAGCTTTCTGCTTTATAACAAAGATAAATCAGTAGAGGTTCAGCACTCATGATGCACATTGGATTCTTAAAGGGGCAGTGTTATGTAAAATTGACTTTTTTGAGCTTTATATCATGTTATGATGTTATTTCTTCATCAAAAACATACCTGGGGTGCTGCATTGATTCCTTCATGCATGTTTGAGAAATCCCTAAATCTCCCATGGCAACCACTCCAGGATGTCTGAATGCTTTCGCTCACAAAACTCAACGCCTATTTACCCAAACCTCCTCCTTCGAGCTGCTGCCTCCAGCCGAACCGCCGCGTCAAAGAGCATCCCACCCCCGCATCTTCCACACTCGGCTCCTCCAGACTAGCGACAGCAGCAACTAGCAAACACCTGGTGGAGCTGCTCATCTGTTGACCTCATCATTCAAACTATTTCTCAGTGCAACGCTCCTAAGAATATTTGACTTCAATGCTGAAGTCAGAGTTCTGGAAAAAGCAGGTGCTTCTTAAAGAGACAGAGGCCCAATTTCAAGGCACCAAACTGTGAGGTCAAATTTCTTTTAAGTCATGTTTGATATATTCAGCATTTTTATAACAACTTAAGGTTAGATAGTTACTTAATTGTGATATAAAATGGGAATATGTGTCTGGAAAATACATAACACTGCCCCTTTGATGCAGTAAACCCCACCCTCCTCGCTATCTGGAACCCCTGGTAGAGTTGTGTTGTCCTCTCGTTCCTCCCTGTAACACTTAAAGTCTTAAAATAAAATAAAAAATCTTCTGTTGCAGTAGCATAAACTAAGAGTGAAAAGATTTGAAAAATTCAGTCTGGTGCATTTATTCATTTGGGGAAAATATTAAGTATAGAAAGAATTGTTTTCTATAAAATCACTGGTGCCAAAATTGAGAAAATGATTGTATAATTTCCCCTATTGCACAATATCTCCAGAGTCCTTCTTTATGCTCTTCTCTTACTGCAGTTCTATATCAGTAAGTGTTAATGACTATTTAATCTCTCTAAAACATCCCTGCTGTGTGTGGCAAGCTTCTTTTTCACAGTTCCAGTTTTTTTACCTCAGTGAAACAGAAGGTTTATAAAAGTTTAAATTGACTTATTTTAAAGTATTTTTAGGGGACTGACAATTTTGGCAACACATTTATTTCAAGGCGTCTAAACATCTTTATAAAGGGTGCTAACACCTGCTAGCAGCCAGAGGTCCAGGCTGCAAAAAATCTGAAGCCACTATGAATAAATGTATGTGCACTTATATAACATATTATACACTTGCCCTACAAAAATTGCAAAAATTATGCAGGAGTGAATTTCATTTAATCCCGGAGAGGAGGATGAGCTTTCCACGGAAGTGTGTGTTTCTGTGTGTGTGTGCATACCAAAGTGCCGTTGATGTTCCAGGAAACAACTGGCTTTGGGGAACCTTCGGCCTCACAAATTAAGACTTTACGGTGGCCGTCTTTGTCGTTCTGATCGTCCAGTTTTCTGATAACCGGAGCACCTGCAACGGCACGGAACGTTTCAGATACACCTGAAGCAGAAAGTGATTCGTCATGGTCGCATTTCATTCGTGGGTAAAATGTAAAATGATACGAGGAAAATCTCAACTTGAAAGAATAGCATTTTTGGGAAGAACCCATATTTGCTGCCACACAAAAGGATTCTTTCTTTTAGAAATATAAACAAAGAGCCTGGATGCAGGGAATAAAAACAAATATTGCTCTTTCTTCCTGTTTTATAGCGTTTTATCCCAGCAGCAAAGGCCAACACTACGACAGGTTAGGTTGCCTTACAGTGTTTGGTCAGATAAAACAGATAAAGTGAGAAAATATCACTTTTATATAATTCTCTTGATTTATTTAATAGCACAACAAACCATACTCCATTCAATCAACAGACTGGACAAGTCATAGGAGTCTACCAAGATGGTAGACGCAAAAAAACAACAAAAAAGTGTATATTAGCTTCTAGTAGCAGTATGCGGCTAGCTACTAGCCAGCTAGCTAGCTGGCAAGCAAAGATTAATTATCAGCTAGCTAGCCAAATGCTGGTAATTTACACTTACCCTTGATGGACAGAAAAATCCTAGCTAGTTAACAAGGGTTTTCTAGCATCTAGTTAGCGGTAGCCTCAACCGGCTCAAAACAAAGAATGTAATGTATGTGTGCCATTCAAACTTTTGGCTGACAGAAAAATCCCGCCAGAAAGATCCCTGCCACTGCAAAATTTAATACCTGTGATTAACGTACTTAAGGCCAACCTGTTTTTTTTTTTTTATTAATTTAAGATATTTTAAGACCTTAATTTCCCCCCTTCTTCTTTCAATAAATATCAATTTGATTATTCATGACTAGGGCGGCACAATATGCGTCATCACAGTATTGGAAAATATTGCAATGACGATATTAATCACAATACATATTTTCTTGTTTCCACTCTTTTCTATCTGTGCTTCCGTCACTCTGTGACCATTCATCTCTGCCGCCGTGAACATCCGCTGCCCTAAGACTAAATATTACATTAGCATGAAAAATGCATGTTTGTATGAATATTGAGCGATACTGCAATGACGAACATTTGCAATACGTTATGCAGCCTTACTCATGGCTAACTGTGCTCATGTCAGCAACACGTCTCGTCTGACTCGCAGACGAGCAGCTCAGCAGCTTCTAGTTGCTGTGCGTCTCTTAGCTGCTGGTCTGATTGCCCGGCTTGTCAGACGTCCATGTCTTGGTAGTTGTTCTATGCTCTCTCTGAGATGTTCACACCTTAGGATATTGTTTTATAACCCAACTCTGCTTTGACATTTCTCCATATTTTCACTCCCGACCTGTCTTCTGTGTTCTATGGTGTTCATGCTTTGCTATTTTAATATAAGTTTTACATTACAATATCAACTTGGACTGTATTTAATTTGTGTATGATCTACTGAACTGGTTGCACTTGATTTTTCTTTATCATTTCCTTCTACTTCCCCATTATGCCACACTCTGTTTTGTGTCTATCACTTAAAATCCAAATAAAATTTATTCAAAAAATAGGTTGTGACATCACAAAGTGTGAAAAATCTCCAAAGAAATTAAAAATTGTAATTTTGAAGCCAGTTTAAGGTTTGTTGCATGCATCCATAGAAACATTGAGTGTTTCAGGTAAAAAAAAAAAAAGAAATCCTATTCATGCCTTTTTTGCAAATTAACATTATGTTAAGAATGTTTTACTTCTACAGAAAATAAGTTATGTTTGTAAAGAACTCTCTTCACCGTTTAATTTTTATCAATTCAACCATGCTTTAATTAGTTGTTGAGTTTCAGAGATGTTTACCATTCTTTCGCTTCATTTCTTTGGCGTTGAGCTGCTCAAACAGGCTGAAAATTTTATTTTATTTTTTCCCCATCCGCACACAAGGGAATTAGAAATCTTCCCAGCAAACTTTGAGCAACAAAGCGTTTCCTTTAACCCGTACCTTCGACAGTCAGACGAAAAGAAGCCTTTCTGCTGAGGGGGCCCATCGTCACCTCCAACTCATACAAACCGGCATCTGAGTAGGCAAGCTTGGCGATCTCGGGCTCTTTGTTAATTTTAACACCTCCCTGCGTCAAATGAATAGAAAAATCGGCACTTTCAATAACGAGCACAAACATGTCATAATTGATTCAAGCACCGCTCTAAGGAAGATTGCTTTTTTTTTTTTTTTACCTTTGTCCATGAGACCGTTGCTGTGTCGGAGGAATCAATGCTGACACTTAGATTCAAAGAGTTGCCTGCGTGTCTGATGACCGTCTTATCCAGGTTTAATTTGACGTCTAGGTCTGAAGAGAGATAGGATGTGGAAAAGAAGGTTCAGAGGTCTGATAGGGGTGGAAGCGTTTTCCGTTGTCAAACCGCGCAGCTCCGCGCTCGGCTCATAGACGGAATTATTAGAAGTTGTGCGGCTGACACACAACGGCTGCCTCTGCAAATCACAAGAGGACGGTCTGGCAAAAGAGAGATATTAGGACTTCCTTTTCTTTAACAAGACAAAAAACAAAACCTTCCCATCTCATTGTAACAAAGAGAGTCTGCAGGCAGAGGAGGAAATTATAGAGATAATGATGCAGGTGTGCAGACATATAACCAAAACTCAAGTTGCTTTTCTTTAAAAAAAAAGGAAGTAAAACAACAAAACAATACTTACACTGGACTGTGATGTTCTTGGCTGCTTCTATCGAGGGGTGGTCAATTAGAGAGCATTTGTATTCTCCGCTGTCTTTGCGTGAGATGTTTGCGATGGTGTAATTGTCTGAATTTTCCACTTTCGTCACATTTCCCTGCAAAAAGAGTTCAACGAAGCAGGAGCAGGTCGCCTCGGTTACACTGCGGCGTCGTTCTTTTTACAACATTTAAATGACTCACATTATCAAAAGGGCAAAAGTTTCCCAGCTAAATATAAAATGCAGCTTTCAGTTGAAGATTTCATTAAAAAAAACATTTAAATTTAATAATTTATTAGTAAATCCCCATTGTTGATTTACTAATAAATTAGGATTAACCAAAGATGTTGGATGTCACTCCCTAGATTAGTTTCACAACAGGAAGTAGACTAAAAGGTCTTAAAAAAAGAAAAAACAACAACAATGTATTATGACCAATATGCAGAAATTCAAGAACAGAAAACATTTGCAAATTATTTGAGCCACATCTAAGAGAGACTTCCAAGAAGAACAACAATAGCTATCCAAAGACAACAAAAAAATAAATAAATGAAGTGGCCTAATTAAAGTCTGGACTTAAATTAAACTTACAGACTAGTCACACTTAAAAAACCCTTAAAGTGGTAGAATTAAAACCTAACATCTACATTTTTCATATCAGATTTTAATCCATTTTTTTCATGTTTTATTTTCTGAAAGAGAAACTACAAATGAATGAAAATATTTTCAAAATGTGGTTTTCATTTCAATGGTGCTTCCTGTGCTTTGTACGATGGGAGTTTTTGTTTAATTTTGAGAATATCAGCAGAACAAGGACTCAATTTTACCAGAAAAATGTCTTGAAATTACCAGAATAAAAACATTTACTGGGAAAAAGCTTCAGTAGAGTTATCAGGATCTGATGTTATCAGTTAGTTTAATTTGCTCTTTCTTTGAAATAGTCACAGTTGTTTGCACCATCGTTTCAAAGTCCTGCTAGTGATGATGTTTTGATGGTGTGTTAAAAGACTTTGTACTTTTGTTAAGTATTAAGTATCATCTGCAAAACTTATACAATATGCTCAAAATTTTCTCATTGTAATCTTTTGTTATTTTTTCATGTTAGAGTTAAAACTACTTCTTTATTCTTCTATTAATACAGCTTTAGTCTGGTAATATTATTTATTCTCAACCCTGTTGCCATACAATTGCATTGTAATATTATGACTATTGTAACAATTGAAAAAGAACAATCTTAGCGTTTCTCTAATATTCCATCACAGAGTTGACCTGAATCCAAAGTCCAAATAAACAGAAGCTGTAAAACACGCTTGTCAAACAAGATGGCTGCCTTGGATGTGATGACATCACTCTGAACTGTGGATTGGTGGAAAAAGGAATCCAGATTTTTTAAAAATTAAATCTTCAAAAACCAATTATTTGATTAATCCCAGCTCCATTTTGTCATTACCAATTATCGCAAACATTTCACAAAGAGAGTGAAAACAATTAATTATTTAGTTTAGGGACCAATTTCTTTTCCAAATATAAACAAGATAGCTTGAGTAGCTTCTGAAAACCATCTTTCAGTTAATTTCGGTCAGATACTTAAATTTTCTTGATGCGGGCTACATAGGAGTTTTCTTCACAAGTTTGGATTTTACATACCTTGATGTGAAAGTTAAAGCTGGTGGGACGAGGGTTTCCGTCTGCCACACACTTCAAAGTCACGTCGTTTCCCTCCACGGGTGGAGAATTCGAGATGACCTCCAGGACGAGTTTCTCTGTGGAGTCTGCGCAGACAAAACAATAATAATAATAATAATAATAATAATAATAATAATAATAATAAAAAGCAGACACATGTCAGATTGGCCCCATCCTTGACTGAGTGGAAGGCCAAGCTCAAACTCTGCACCTTGGTATTGGTTATGATCGAGAATAAAGCGGAGCGGAGAGGAAGATGGCTGAATTACTGTCATAATCGGAGGCACTCGAGCAAACGGTCCTTTCAAAGCTTCGGCGTTTCCGCTCCATCTGAAGCGAACTCTTTCAAGAATTTCATTTCTTTTAAGAAATGAAATTCCACTTTGGACTGAAGTCGGCAGGTAACTTCAATACATATTACCTCAAACAAACAAACAAAACAAACAAAAAAATCCCAAACAACCTTTCAGTGTTGTTTGGGATCAAGTGAATACGAACGTGGGCTCTGAGGTTCAGCTTCGACTTAAAACTCTTAGGACAAACGTCACAGGCAAAAGGTTTCTCTCCAGTGTGTGCGAGTTTTTATTTTTATTTTTTTACATTTGTCTGTTTTGGCTTGAAGCAAAATAACAAAAAGAAAAAAAAAACAAACAAAAAAAGAAGACGAAAAAAACATGTTTTAACCAGCAACAGCTGCAACAGTGTTTGTTGATTCTCTGACGGGTCAGAGGCTGTTTTTTCCTGCAGCTCATTATCTACTGGATAGACAGATGAGTGTTTTACAAATGATGCAGCACATCAGCTAATAACTTAACCTGCCCAGGCAACAACCAGACAGCAGACATCTGTGCTCAGACACACACTATAAATTAAAAAAAAAAAGAAAGAAAAAGAAAAAAATAATCAGTATTTTCCTACCCTCTGTTGTTAATGTGAATAAACTGTCTAGATTTCTGCAGGCGGGAGCCGATTGTCGGTTTTAAATTGCCCTGCGCATGCGTTAGATTTAACTTTTCAGCCACAAGGGATTAATTTTTCCCAAACTCTTTTCTTTTTGAGAGACAATTTTGTTTTTAAAGTAATGGATGTTTTCATAACCTTGCTTATTCGTTTTCAGTTTATGTGAAAAGCTGCCAACAGATATGAAAAGTTCTTTCAAAGATGTAGGAAATTAAAGACAACTACATTCACAAGAGGCTAACTAGAGCAAAAAGTTTTTTTCTTGATTTGTTTTCCAGGCTATTTTATGTCCAGGTCCAGTCCTTGAGAGCCACTATCCTGCGACTTGTAGATGCATCCTTCCTCCAACACACCAGAATCAGATGACTGATTTCAGGCTGATTACTCCTCAGAGTGTCATTCAGCTCTGCAGACGGCCTGGTAACGAGCTATTCAGTGGATTCAGGCTTGGGCCCCCATGATCTGTTCTGTGTGAGTTCCTGAAAGACTGTTTTATTTTCCTCCAGCCAACCTTTTGAAACTCCTCCTGTATGGTTTATCTGGGGAAGTTTCTCTTTTATTCAATCATAAAGCACAGAAGCAACTTGACACACATGGCAGAAGAAACAGCTACCATCCTAAATGGGACCAGCCCACCTGGTCAACACAATTTCACTCAATTCTCATCTTCATTCAATGGGTTTTCTCTCATTGCAGTGGATTTCTCCTGCAGAATTTCAACTGGAGTGATCAACGAACAGAGGGAGAAGGTGTGAACGTCGATTGATTCATATATAAAGAAATGTATAAAATAAACATAATTTGATCCCAAGTCTTCGACATGAAATGGTTGAACAGTTTCGATGCGAAATTATTCGAAGTTCTCAACATGAAATATTCATAACCATACAATATGTTTTAAATATGATGAAGTTAGAAAACTAAAGCAGAATCTAATTGCATATAACCTAGGTACATGTTTCGTTTATATAAATCAAACAGACTTTTACTTCTAGTGTACGCTTTTTCGTCACTTACAAGAAAAACTGTTCCGAAATATTTCCAGGTGAAAGAAAAAAAAAAAACTGGTGAGAAAACTAAAGAAGCACCACACTTCATTTTTGTTAAAGTAACGGCGTTTAAATCTACAGGCTAAATACCCGAGCAGACTGTCCAGCTAATTAACTAGTGGATGCCAACTTGGTATAATTTTGTAGAGCAGAATGACAATAAGAGTTAATACTTTGTAAAATTAACATTTGAAAAGCACAACTTATTACAAGTGTTTATTTTACATGTTCCTAAGCTTATCCAACTCGAACTAAAATAGCAGTAAAGTTATTCATCAGAAAACTTGATTATAAATGTAAAAATGAAAAATGCAGAATAGTTTATTAGCAGATGCTCTTATATTTTAAAGAAAGAACTGTTAGATCATGCTATACACAGCACTGGTTTTTATTTTTATATATGTACATAAATACTCAGCATGCTGTGAGGCCCTCAGAGCAGACCGTGCCTGCAGGAGCGTGAACAAAAGTTTTATGCCAACTCTAAAACTGCAATTACAAAGAAAACGTCATGAACAAAATTAACATTCGCTTTCTGGTATTTGCTTACTGGGATTAATGATTTCCATGAACTTTATAATTAATATTCTGCCCAATCCAAATCAAACTTGACATTTTCAGCTGGCGCAACACAGAGGTGTTGTTGTTTCCCCAAAGAGAAGCAGACTTTGGAAATGGTAACAAGCGGAAGGTGAAAGCGAGACGGGGGCTAGAAGCTTGAAGTGGTTGACATCTGGCAAGTCGGGCTGCCCCGGAGGGCAAGCTGCACTTACAGGAGCTGCACAGCAGCAAATTAACCCTGCAAAGTCTCCTGGACTTTTTTTTTTTCTTCTTTTTTGACCAAAGCGACTTGCATGACCTTCGATCTTAGCCTGCTCTGTGTTTTTTCTCCTGCTTTGTTTTACAAATTGAAGGCTTTCAGGCAGCATGTGGTTTCTTTCAAGTCTGTTCAGGATAAATCTAAACCTCAATATCGACAGAATGAGATATTAGGTGCAAAATAAGTAACATTTTCACAAAGGATCAATCTTTTCATGCAGTGATATGGAAACATGAAAGTAACAAAAAAAAAAAAGTTAACACTACTCGCAGTGATTCGCAAGAACGTTTGTTCCCACAGAATTTTTCAAGCAGAAACTTCTTTGAAAAGTTCTTAAACGATTGTGCAGAAGAAAGAGAAGCACGCAGTGGTGTCAAATTCTTTTAAAAATAACAATCTAGAGAACATCAGTGATCAAAGAGGATCACAAGGAAACAGGTAGAGACATGTTGAGAATAAAGTGGTGGAAAAGCTTAAGGCATAAAATTCTTGAAAAGATGAACACAGCTAAACGTATGAGAACCCTGAAGGAAACCTTTTAGAGGCTGCAGAACAGATGTTCATCCTCTAACAAAGCAATGACCGCAAACATATGGCCAGAGTTAAGATATTTCTGTTAAAGTGGCCTAGTCAAAGCAGACTCAGAGATCTGCTGCAATCTGGAAGTCCAGAGTAACTCTCAAAACTGAAGCAAAACTCAGGAGAGTTTTCAAAATATAAAGACATTAAAAATAGATCTGTCACAATAAATTTTGTTGGAGGATAAATTGTCCCAGTAATTATTGCGATAAACGATACTATTGTTGTTTTGAGGCTGTTTTCAAGTAATACACTGATAATGGAATATCAACGCGAGTTTGCACTCTTAATAAACTTTAATATTTGTAAATAGTACTTTACACTGGAACTAGAAGAAATTTTAAATATCCCAGATAAAACAACCAGGAGTAATAAACAGAACTGAAATAAAAACCACACACAACCGAAACCACAAGTAAAACAGATTTTGATGTTTCTCTAAACAAAATTGTTCATCAAAAATACTAATCACTAGAATGGAAATCATTGAGCTCACTTTAATTTATCATGATGTTAATAATTTATTTCTGACAAAGTTGCTTAAAAAGTCTGGTTTTAACAGACATTCAAGGTTTTCTTGCAAAATCTGCACAGATTTCTGCAGCAGAATGAGAGATATTGGAAGGGGAAAATTGAAATATAGCAGACATTTCCAAAAATTAAGCTGGCTTCTAAAAACAATTATGCATGTTTTCCGATTTGGACAAATTTTACTTCTGAAGGAGCGAGTGCCAAAGAAGCCTTCTGAGTTCCTAAAGCTTACAAACCTTTGACTCTGTCACCACTGCCCAGCTTCACACTGACTATGCAGTCTGTCTCAAGGTATCCTGCAGATAAATAAAATCTATCATCCTCTGTGTGGCTCATTGACTTCCTGTCTTTCCTTTTATGTCCAAGCGACATTGGGTGTGTTCACCTTTACTCACAGTTGATGACGAAGGTCTCTGGGGGGGACACGAGGCCACTGGCCAGCGAGTGCTCCGCCCTGCAGCTGAACTGGGCGCCTGTGTCTTCTTTCCGCGCAGAATACAGCAGCGTGGATTCGGTGTCTAACGAACCAGAAGTCTGGTTCACCATAATCACAGTCCCTAGAGAAAACAAAACCAAAAAAAGTAGAAAAAAAACTTCAGCATGGTTTAAAACATCTCGCACATGCTGTGGCAGCAGAAAAAACATCTGTGCATGAAGTATTGATAAAGATCATGTTTAGCTATCATGTCATATTGTGAAGCAGGATGAAAGATGCATACGATTTTCTTCATTCGTAAGTGCTTTGTTGTTCCTCAGCCATACGATCTTTGCAGGTGGATTAGCATTTTTTGCAATGCATTTTCCAAGCTGTGGAATAAATGAGAGGAAAAAAAAATCTCTTAAAATTAAAACAGATTCATTAATGAATTCAATAGCAAAAAAGTAAGAGAGTGCTTTCAAAAAGTATTCCTACCGTTTAAACATTTAACTCTTTGTGACATGACCAGCAGGGTTTCCCCAGTGTATTATAAGCCTGGCGGGCCACCAGGCTTTACTTGTGCCCCCACGAGGCTGAGCATTGCATATTTTTTATTTTTTTTAAAGTATTATTTAAAATGTTTGCATTTTTTAAGACTTTATAGTTGGTGTTCAGGTATTAATCTTCCAATCTTTTACATCACAATCACAATCACATAATTATCAAGTGATATTTTCAAACTTCTTGTCAACTTTAAACATTTTTTAACTCAAAAAAACGACGGGCCGCAGGATGAATGACTTCCCTAGCGCAAAAGTTTTCTGGGGGAAACCCTAGCACCAGACTACAAATTGTTTAACTGAGTTTTAATGTGATTGAACAACAAAATAGTACACCATTGTGAAGTGAAATGAAAGAGAAACAAAACTGAATGAGATATTTTCAGTCTCATTCAGTCTGAACAAATCTGGGTGAACCTTCAGAGATACATAAAGACAATTACAAAGTCGGTCTTCTACCACCTGAAGAACATTTCCCAGATAAAAGTATTAATGTCCCAGAAAATCTTCATCTATAGTTGCATTGATTACTGCAACTATGTCTTCACGGGTCTCCCTAAAAATGTCAGACAACTCCTACTCTTTGTTCTACTCTCTGTAGAAGAGTAGAATTAAATGTTTCAGTTTCACATTTAACCTGAAAGAAAGTTCCAGAAAACTGCAAAAATGCTGAAACCCTGAGCTCCTTTTAAATCAAGGCTGAAAACTAATATGCTTAGAGTAGCCTTTGATTAATAATAACTGGAATATCACCAGGTTTAGTCTGGTTTGCAACTTTTTCTGACTTCCCTTTAATTGTCACTGCAATGTAATGTCTTTTTTTGTTTCATGTTTTTATGACGCAAAGCACTTTGAATCGACTTGCCACTGAAGTGCGCTATACAAATTAACTTGATGATGAAGCTCGCGTACTATCACGTTAGAAGTCAATAAAATGCATTAAAGTTTACGGTTATGTGTCAAAAAATGAGAGAAATTCAAGGGGTATGAATCCTTTGGAAGCCACTGTAGTCGTATGACTTCACTGAAAAGCCAGCATTTCATTTATGTTTTAAATTACCAAACATATTAGCTTTTTTTTTTCTCTTTTTTTAAAAAACGCCTCCACAGCATTTGAGGAGTAAAAGACTTTTCCACGCAACAGACCATGAAATGCCCGAAGCGTTTCTAAAACCCGTCCAATCCTCTGAGTATTCTAATTACTGTAGGGAAGGAGGGGTTCTGCTCTTCTCTAATTTATGAGAATCACTTCAAAGAACTCATTACTGTAGTAACATTCACGCTCTCTCCTATAGGTCCCGAGATAGCGCCGCACGAATCGGGAGGGTTTCTCTTGATGAATAACTGCTTAAAATACTGTAGGTATAAGCAACAATTATCACAAAATAAACTCCACCTTTGTGAGTTTGCCAATCTCCAGTTCTGCTGCCTTCTCGGTTATAAAAGGAGCTTCAGGCGCCTCTGTAAGAAACAAACAAACAAACAAAAAAAATGGTGTTATTGTTATTGTCATTGGAGACACAGCTGTTCCTGGTGTCAGTCATTATGCGTTCCTTCAGAGGGTTAAAGAGCTGCTTGTGCATGTGAAGTCTGCAGAGTTACAGAGCCTTAAATCCAAAACAAATTAACTTATCCTGTCCCAAAGGAGACGGCGCTTCTTAACCGTCGGCAACGCCTCGTCCCCGGCATGTTGTTTCCTCAAACAGCTGCACCGTGTTGTAAGGTATTTGTGCTGCGACGACCTCATGGTCAATTAGACTAGATAATGAATACAGATGCATCTCGACAAATTCTATTATCATACACAATAGCCTGGATGCTCACAAAGTACTCCATGCTAGTGGAAAATTCAGTGGAAGGAAAAGGTGTGGCCGGAAAAAGTGTCCAATACAAACGTTTCATTGCATATACTATAAAGTACATGGGCATTTAGCAAGCATTTCTGAATTAGAATTTTTGTTATTGGCTTCATGTAATAAGAATTTTAATTCACTGTAAAACCTAACCATCAGAATTAACAGAAATAAACACCCAAATATGTAATATTGGACATTATACACTGTGGTTATGATAAACTATATAATGTTCTAGTTTGAAATTTTGAACTGAATTAGTGAACTAAATTATTTTTCAATGGTGAGAAGATTTTAGTTGAACAAAGAGGTGAGGGACAATAAGCTATGCTTTTTCCCCCCTCAATATTCAAGCTGTTTTATGTATTTATTTTTGGTTGTAGTGTTCTGTAATTATTGTTCTTTCTTATATCTTAGTTTATATTGTGATATGTATGTTATATTGTAATATGTGGGTAGATATCATTTACATATTTGAAGTAAATTATACAAAAAATAGAAAAGAATCATAAAAAGTGCACTGCAAAAGCAACATTTTACTAAGTATTTCTAGAATCAAGTGCAAATGTCGTAGTGCACTTTAAATAAGATAAAACAAACTTTCAAGTAGCTTTTCATCAAGACATTTGAGCTTTTTTAGGTCAATAATTCTTTAATATTTATTTTTAAAATTACAAGTTCCACTGGCAGATTATTTCACTTATAACATGAAAAAACGACTTGTTGTAAATGGAAAAAAGTCTGCCAGTGGAACTACTACTTTTTCACCAATATTAAGGAATTCATTATTAAAACAAGCTTCTATATATTGCAGAAAATTTGCTTTTAAGTTAATTTAGTCTTATTTCAATTGTCCTAAGACATTTGGACTTAGGAAATATCTAAGTGCAAATGCAGACGCAGCTCAAACACAAGTGTTTTACTTTAAAAATTGCTTGAAAGGACCTTTAAAGTAGAAACACAACGCCTGTACTCACTGTGGACGATTAGAGCATGTGAAAAGTCTTTAATATTTGGACCAAAGTTTGTGGTAATCAATGCCTGGCAGGTGAAGGTGTGCTGGTCGGTCAGCTTGGCTCCGGTAAGCAGGAGGCTGAGATTTGCCGCCAGGCTGATGCGATCCTTGTACTCATCGGTGGCTAAGATTACAGTTTCCTTGTCCTTAGATTTGACCAAAAGGTCTACATTTTCCTAAAGACAAGAGAAGAGTACATTTGTTATTTGTCTGTCAAATATGTCTTCCAATTCAAATAAAAGCATGCACAATGTTTAGCTCCGCCCTCCCTCCCCCCGGCTTCGTTTATAATGCGCCGTCATATGGAGGTGACAGATGCATGCTCTAATGCACACCTCCTGCTCCCAGACGGGGCGTGGCTCAGACATGATAAATGGGTGTCAGACTAATGTCACTGTAGCGAATGCATTGACCTCCACTGCGACTTACATATTTCCATTTCGTCAACGTGACGTCTTTGATTTTGTTGGCTTCGAAGGTGCAAGGAATCTCCACCGTTCCCCCATACAGGCCGATGATGCTTTTTTCCGCCGACGACGCTGGAGAAGGGATAAAAGAGTTTGTTAATCGTCATATATGATGAAAACTAGTCTAAAATGCACTTTTTGTACATTATTTGTCAGAGATTCCTGCTCAGGAATTTGAGGTCTGAAACACAGATTCTAATTACTAAACACAATATATGTAAGGGGTTCACACCCTGCATGAAGACCACTTGTGATGAACTGTTTTCAGTATCAGCAGGATGTTAAAAAAAATGAAGTCAAAGGAAGAACAAAAGGTATAAGAAGCTATTAATGAAACTAAAAGAAATGACCTTATAAATTGAATTCAAGGGCAGCCTCTCCAAACAGTTAGGTTTTCTCTACAGATAAGTGCTTTCACACCACTATCCACTGTTATTGGCAACCCTGAAAAATGTACATAACGGAGTTCCACACGGAACAGTGCTTGGACCAATACCATTTAGTTCAAATTTACTATTATTTGGAGAAATGATTTGATGGCACAAGGCCGACCTTCACTGGTATTCACACAATGCTCCAGTATTACGAGCAACCTTGGTAATGATGTGTAGAAAACCCTTAAAATAAACTGTTGCTATGGATACTTGACCCAGATAGGTCACTGTGTGCAGCTTCTGTGATATTTTTTCTTCCATATGGATTGCAAAATTAAAGTTTCTAAATATACTTCATCTTGTAGGAACAGTTAGAGAGAGTCAATAACTTTGGCAGTGATTATTTTGTTAATATCTTTTCAGAAGGTAGTGTTTTCTCAACTAAATGTAGTGACTCTTGGATTATATTTATCCAAATATTTCAGTGCAGATCATGTTTCTGACATATTTTTTCTGCTTTTTATATATTTCACCAGGAGTGGGAATATCTGTGGAGCATCCAATAGATTTAACATTTATTTTTTACATTTTCTTTTTTTTTTTTGCAATTTTTACACATTGCTGCAAATTATTCAGGCAGGTAGAGGGACTGCACAAAGATAGGTATAATTAAAATTTGCAAATCTCATTTAGTATTTACAACTCTTTACTGATACGTCTATTTAGAATCATTCCGATACTAATATTACATTTAACTTTTAATGAAAAACACACAATTCCTAAGGAGGGCAAATCATCTTACAATTCCTTTTCCTGCTTTAAATTTGATCCAAATCATGGAGGCGACATGACTGAGAAGAAGGGTGGAGGGTGGGCAGGTTGTTGCCAGCAGAAAGAGTCTCTACTGTTTGTGATGAGGGGTTAGAGTCAGAGGGCCGCGGGGAAGAGGAGGCTGCCGCGGCCCGACTGAAAATGAGGCGCCGCACACGTCCCTGGCGCTCAAGATTTGCATTTCAGACTCTTCAGAGTTCAGGCTTAGGTAAATGCGCAAGTGGGCGTGCGGGAGCACAAATCTGACAGCTAAAATCCCAAACAGCTCAACGGCAGTTCAGCACACGAGAACAAACCAGCGGCCAGCCGTCCCTTCTACTCTATCTGCTGAATCTGCGACAAGTCATGTTTGTGTATTTACAGGAAAGGAACGAAGCTAATTGAATATTTGGTTGTGCTTGTTCAGCTCTGAAATTGTCCAACTTATGTTCTTTCAGTAAAGAAAAAAATAATAAAGCGGCATAGTTTGAGAATTTCGCTCTCAGTTTCACTTTAAACTCATTGGAGCTTTAAAGGTTTCCTCTCCTCTGGGGCAGAGTTGGAGTGAATTCATTTGCTGTGTGCAAGAACCTCATTTGAATCCCATTTGAAAGAAAGTAAATACTTTTACTATGGTTACCATTGTCCATGTTAGGACAGAGTAACAACTGCGACCCTGAGGGATGGTTTGCACAGTTGATGTGACCTGAAGCCGAGGTGACACATTTAGAAATGTTTGTTTCCTACGCAGGATCAAGTCCAAATTATCACACGAGTTCATAAAATAGCCAAGTGCTGAAGTGATTTATTACTAAACAGAGAAAGAAGAAAAAAAAAAAAAAAGAAAAAAAATCAAACAGCCTGCCTGGAGTCAGCAAATTCTGCTCATGTTGCCATGTTCTTGGCACTCGGCCCAACAAGTTCCCGCGCCAACACTTGTCGCTCATCATTATGAGCTGCCAAACAACTACCAGTCTGGTTCCGGATCAAACAGGAAAACCTGTTATTTTTTACAGCACCAAAAACAAGGAGGATGTCAAAATGCAGATTTAATTACATCTGTTTGAAACAGAGCCGCTTTGACTCACATCCTTTTTAGGGTATTACAGCCATCAAGACTCCACTGCCCCGTGTCAACATATTGGCGATCAATGAGACATTTGGGAAACAAAGCTACTGCCTTTGTAGATAATGACAAAGTATAAGCATTGTAGGGTGTTTTCACACATGATAGTCCGGTAGACTCAGTTTTATTTGAGACCAAAATTTCAACCTTTGCAGTTTGGTTTCACACCGTGTCAAATGAACCAAACTAACTGGAAAACCTGTTCCTCTGCACAATGAACTACTGAAGGAAACAACATGGAAATCTCAAATGAAGACAGGAGCACAACTTTCTTCTTCACAAAATGTAAACAAAAATGGAGTGGCATCAGATATTAGCCATTGTACGATTTCTCTTTTGTCATTGATTGATGAAAGATCAATGCAAGTATTTGTTTTGCTTGTATTTACCCAGAATGCCCTGCGCTACAGCTCAGTTCCTGCGTTTGGAGTTGTGTTCACATTGTGCATTCGAACCCCGCCAGAGTTCACTTCAACCAAGCCAAGAAACAGGCGTGTAGGCGGACCAGAGTTCGATTACGCATTCACTTTTAGGACTTTCAAGGCAAACGAACTGAAGTTCGATTAAAGAGGACCGATGTGATTCACCCTAATTAAAGATCAGAAGAAAACATGATAAAATATTAAAATGCAACACAGTCGTTCATTACTATCTTCTTCAAATTTGCTTAGATAAGCAAAAACTACCTCGTAAAGTTGAGGAAACTTTGAGGCCTGTGTGAAAGTAGACCTTGGCAATATTTAGGAGTTGGTTGTATTGAGGCATCAAGATATATCACAGCTTTAAAACGTCATGCTTTAAGAGATGCTACTCTCATTGTTCTTAAGTTTTAATGTCTTTATAATGAGATGCAAGAGAAAGTAAAGGAAGAATCCAAGTTATGTGGAGCAGACTACAGCCATGCTGCCCCTCCCCGACATCTTTCTGTTCTTAAACTTCTCAGTTACTTACAAAAAGGACTAGTCACATTTGGGAAAGTCATGTTGTGGAAACTAATGAAGCGCCACCCAAGGTTACGTTGTGAGGCTACTTTTCAAATAGACAGACTGGTTCATCTGAAAATCTTTCTTTCTTAGTCAAAGAGAATGATCCGGGGCAAGTTAGCAGCTTTATGACTCAGTCAGTCAAGCTTAGCTGGCATGCAAGATGTGATAACCCGTTCAAAGCTTTTTAACAGCTTTTCACACCCAATTAAAAGTGCATTGAAACCTTTAGGTCATTGGTCCAATTTACAACTCTGTAAATGTGTCAAATGCTCCTTTTGATTTCATTTGAGTCAATATATCCAGAGCAATTTCTCTTTTTTTTAAGAAACCTTTCATAGCCCTCTTTTAATTAGATTAAAATCAATGTTTTACCATCAGAGTTAATATCTATCAGGGTTTCCCCCAGAAAACTTGCTAAGCCCGGTGGTCGGGGCGTCGAGTGCACTATACGCGGTTTATGAATGCCTCAAAGTGGTGAAATAATTATCAGCTTTGTTAAGAATTAAAGAGCTCAGGTCTGTTTGCCAGTACATGCACTTGGCATGTAAAGGTGAGGGAATCCTCATTGGTGCAGAAAGAGCAATACATGGTTTGTAATTGAGCACCGTTAACACATTTTGTGTAACGGCGTAATAAATTGTTTAGATTTGTGCTTAGTTGCAACACTTTACAATATTACATATGCAAAAGTGATAATAGATCATTTTTTAAATAGTTAAGATCAAGTCATACAAGCTGTTTATGTTTATATTATTTTTCTGTGGTGCAAATTTTTGAAGTTGAGTCCCACAAACTTTATGCACTTTGTTATTTACCTCATTAATGTTTTTATTTGTCACAGCAGCTTTGAAAAACAAATATGCCTTTTTCCTGTCCTCTTTCATTTACAATCATATACATTTTGATGTTTAATGCTTAATTTCGTGGGGGGGGTTTATGCCACGCATAATTACCCTCGAAAAAGAATACAGTTCCTGCTTTTCCCAGCGGAAAAACTGGGTAAGCATGACTGATAAAACAACAACAAAAAAAACAAAACAAGCATAAGACATTAGGAATACAAATGTTCAATAAAATATGCACTATATACATTCAGATAGATCTAAAATGTGTGGATAATGGTGTGAGGTGGAGTAAATCTGTGAAAGTGACGATAATCGGCGCCGACAGCTGTGTCCACGAAGCAGGAACAAGTTATGAGAGCATCAAAGCGGAATACTTCCACCCCGGTGGAAACTATGAGAGACACATAGCCCTACCTTAGGGCTTCACCCAAAGAGCTACAATCCCTGCATTCACAATGAGACTTGGCGACATTTACTCGTGACAGCATGGGACAGGACAAAACATCACCACATTTCCACCGCTGACACCTTCACCGGGACTTTTTCCTAGCAAACACGGAGATAAGCCCAGTCGCCTGTCAGCCTGGTTGCATGAATTTCTTGCTCTGGATTCCTTTCATTGTTTATAAGACCTTGAAATATTGCCCCCTCACTCCCTAATACTGAGAAGTTCATTTAAAGGATTTAACTTTTTAAGGAAAATGTGTTAGATAATTAAAGGAATTTAAAACATTTTTTTACACTTTTATTTCCCTCTGCATCTAAGCTTGTTGGAGTAAACAATAAATCAGTTGACCGCAGGATATATTAAAACAAGCTAAATAATTTCCATTTTGCAGGATTTTTTGTTTTTCTCTTTTCTCTCTTTCTACCAAAAATTGGATGACAAAAGTTTTCAGTTCGGTCCGTTGGTCTCAACTTGCCCCTTTTT